TTTCTTCCCGAATAGAAGAAATGAGTAGTAGATTGTTTCCTTGCTGGGAGCTTCTAGATCTACCTCTGCATGGGCTTTTTCTGTCTGAGAAGCTTTATCTCGCTTTCTTGCAGGGTCACACACGTCACCACCTCTTTCACAGGCTTTTTTTTCATACACAAAGCTCGAGCTCTTACCACATCTCCTCACAGGATCAGATGGTGTGAGTCTTCTGTTTTCGATAGTAACTTCTAGTGTTTCTAGCTGATCTAATTCATAAAGAAGGTGTGGAGTTGCTCCTTCTATTCAGCTTGAAGAAGAGTGCTTAGTCCTTCTACTGGGCGTAACCAGCTATGGAATTAGTGACTGTCACCAAGGCATGGTGCATAAAATTCTTCCAACATAACTGTTTTCTCTTTCTCACTTCCTTTATATGCAAATAAAAAAAATATCCTGAAGTGCATTTTGTTTAAAACTGTGCCTGAGCCCCTAATGTGTCTCTAATCTACAGATAGAAAACTTTTTCCATATAGCTTTTTAAGGTGCTGCCTCTGATACAACATTCCAGTATTGCCACATCTTGTAAAATTCTGTCTGTAATTACATAGTTTCATCAGGACTAGCTGATTTCTGCTTTAATTTTCACTTGCCTCCAAGTATACGTAAAATAGAGTACAAGTTAGTGCAGTCAGTCTGTTGCAGTTTGTGCTGCTGCTTCTTGGAAAATGCCACCGGGAGTTGGGCTCTGGGAGTAGCTGAGGTGCTAAAGCCACTGGCAGCTTGCAGCATGACTTTTATTTTTTTTTTTTTTTTTATATATATATATATACTGAAGGAAGCCTGCTCATATTTCCACAAAGAAAGAAACCAAACTTCCTTCCTTTTGAATCACTTTGTCCCTTTAATTAGAATTCATGAAAGGGAAGCATTTTACCTGCATTGAAAACCAACCAGCAGAGGTTGCCATTGATTTTCCTGTTGCCTCTTACCTGCTTTAGCAGTATCCGGATTTCTTGTTCAAGACCTGGAGGAGTCAGCTGACACGAGTGCTTGTTATCAGAGTTCGGTACTCTGAGCGCACAGTAATGGGCACTGCAGTTTTGTACATCAGCTGGGTCGGACCTGTGAGCAAGGTGACTCAGTGGTTGCCGGAACGTTTGGAAGCTTTAGTCGTTGCCAATATTCAAATCTGTATCGAGCAGAATGCCCTGAGTGCGTAGCTTCTGTGGTCCACTTAGTTTTAGGCTTTCCCTTTGCTTATCTAACATGCCCTTGTGCCTTTGAGACTTTCTGGCATACATTTTAAGATGTTTTGGCCCTTTGTTTCTCTGGTGCCCACCACCAACTGGCCCAGGGAGGGGAGGGAGAAGTGCTGGTTGCTGCCATGCCTGTGCACACGGTTGTTTGTTCTCCTCCTCCTCCCCCACAGGAGGAGTGGGAAGAGGAGGAATAAAAATTGCTTCCTATTGTTCCGCCCGTGGTATGGATGGCTTAAAGCTGTACTCGGGGACTAAATTCAGGCATTAAATCTGTTGTCGCAGCCGTTTACAGTTCTGAGGTATGGGAGCGATTTTAATTTTTCCTTAAATCCTTTGATGGAAGAATTTGGAATTGTCACACGCCGTTATTGCAAACCGTTCTCTCACTGCTGCATTTTATGCTGCTTCACATTCCTACAGGCTTGTCATTCAGCTTTGAATATTTGCTCCAGGCTATACTCAAAATACAAGATGTTAACCCAGGAGCAGCTTATTAAAATTTTGCCTGTGGTTTGCCTTGGAACTAAAAGAATTTAAGTCACTGTAGTTTCTAGTGACTTAGTTGGTTAAAGCCTCCGATGCCATTCTTGACACATGTACTTTGCTGATCTATAGCCCAAAACACTGTTTTGTGGTTGGTATTTTGGTATCTAAATTTGCTGTTTCTCTATGTGTCTAAGGATGTATGAAGTGTCTATGTAAGATAACTTCGATGATTGTATTTGTTGCTGGTTTTATTTTTAGGAAGCATGAAGTAAACAAAACTTCTGAGTCCTTAATCAGGGAATAACAGCATCCATTTGCATGAGTAGAGATCACTTAATTGGGTTAAAAAGTCTGCTTTGAAAAATAATGTTACTCACAAGTATTTGTATTAAAACCAATGTTTGCAATCGGTTGGAGCAATTAAGAATTGGCACAGCATTGAAAGCAGTTGCAGATGAGTTTTAAAATAAATCTGCCTTAAGTACGAAAATAAATTTAATTTTTAGGGGACCGTAATTTTGTCTTTTAGGCACGACAAAATTTGTGTCAAACCACAGCAAATACACATTGTCTGTGGATGTTTAGCCTCGTAAAGTAAGAGATGCATATGAAATTAGCGATCTGAGAATAACTCTTTAATAAACATTTTTAGCTGGGTGGTGATGGCGGTTTCTAAAATAACCTACACAGCTATAGTCGTTTGGGTGGACTTGACTGAAATGTTTGAATTTGGGGGGGTGGTGGTGGTGGTGTACATCCTGTGGACTTCCGACATTATTTAACGCTTTGGCATTCGGTGCGGTTGCTCCGCCCTGATCCGGGGTAGGTCGCAAGACTTCGGAACTTGCACGGAGCGAGACCCCCGGCTGCGGCCGCTCCGAAGCCCCCTCCCTGCCCGCTGGCTGGACGG